CCCCCCCCCCCCCCAAAAAAAAAAGAGTGTAGATACCAGGTAACCCTAAATAAAATTAACTAATTCCACGAGTGGGGTCTGGGGAAGGTAGTGTGTACGCAGACCTTACCCCTACCTTGAGGGTAGAGAGGCTCTCTCCGATAGACCCCCGGTCCAACAAACCCTGGAAAAAATCACGTGACGTTCTGTCTCCGAGATCTTCAATTCTGGTCAGCCATCAACTAATTTGATTTCTTAGATGTAACTTTGTGTGTTTTTTCTGCTTGCAGGAGAAACAACTATGTCGGGAAATCAGGTTACCGCCTCAACATTATCTTAGGATGCAGGAGGTCCTTACAATACAAATTTTTAGTGGCAATATCACTAGAAAATCTGATGCTTATCCTTTCTTCCAAATAGAAGCAACTAAAGTAGATAGAGTTTATGATATGCTTTTGAAGAAGGGAGTTGCACCCTTGTGAAATTTTGTCCAGACATTATTCTTTCTAGTTTAAATGAAATCTCCCAATATTTATCATCCTCTCGCACTTTTACAGTATTTCTATTCACTTCTTGGCCTCAAAATTTTTTAAAAACTTATTTGCACTCGGTGTTTACATCAACCATTGAAAGCAGGATATATGTATTTCATACATATGTTTTTCACTTAACCATAGTTAAGTGATACTGTGTTTTCACTTTAACTTTTAACTATCACGATTAAATTATTTGGTTTGGTATAAACATCGGGTGCGAGTAAGTATTTACCATGCGACCAACATATTGGACTAGAACTTAGTCAATGTTTACTGTATGGATTTAAATTATATATACCAGACATGTTAAGAAAATATCGGAATAGAGCTAAACTATTACTTAGAGCTAATCTACACTTATAGCCTGTTTGGCCAAACTTTTCAAGAGGTCAAAAGTATTTTTTTTTCTTAATAGCATTTTTTTTTTCTAACTTGAGGTGTTTGGCCAAGCTTTTTTGGGGGAAAAAAGTGCTTTTGGGAAGAAGCAGAAGCAGTTTCTGAGAAGCTGAAAAAAGTAGCTTCTTCCCAAAACAGAAACAGTTTTGACTTTTCTTCTTACCAAAAATACCCTTAACAAAATATAGTATATACCAAAATAATCGTTAAACCTAATACTTAGAATATTAATGTATAAATATTTCTTATTATTTTTAGGATAGCTTTCTAATATATAGTAATTTTACGGGTGAATGATTTTTAATATATTTAATTTATATTAAAAGAATTAAGTACTTTAAAATTTTATTTTCATATTTTACTTAAATAAAATAAAAAAATTTAATTATTGCATGTAATAACAAATTTTTAAGATTATTTATTTACTTATAATATTAACTATTAAGTAAATCTATTTATGTCCTTATTCGTAATTTGATACTTAAAAACACTTTCTGAAAAGCTTGGCCAAAGATAAATTATTGCTCAAAAATACTTTTCAGAGTGATTAGCCAAACACAAACTGCTTCTCTCTAAAAGTACTTTTTTCAAAAGTACTTCCAAAATAAGTTAATTTCTCCGGATTGGCCAAACATGATATTAAGCTCCCTTATATGTAAAGCGCAATATGCAAGAACTGGTGAGAATCAACTTTAATCAATTATTCTTGGTTTCTTATGCAGTAGAAACACTAGAAACTTCCCGGCTACTCGTTTCATTTCATATACACACCACCTTCTCCAATTTCTTAGGAACTAAGTACCCTGAATAATATTCCAATTTTTTATTTAGAGAAATCTCTAGTCTTATCGAAAATTTATTTGGAATAAAAGCATCAAGTATATAAAGTGATTAATTATACTGGAAAAAACTGTACAAGAGAATGTAAATATACACTGACGCAGTAAAGTAATCTTCCACTGATGGTATGTTTTAACATGTCACAATAGATAACCTATATTATTTTTCAGCTCACTAAACTATTTTTTGTGAACAATTATCTATAATTATTTTTTAGGTGAAATATTAGTGTGAACTATACTTTTGTACAGTATCAATAAATAAAAATTAAAATTTTATATGTCAAACCTCTTTATAACAATCGTATTTATTCCGATATTTTTTGGATGTTATAATAAAGTGTTGTTATAAAGGACATATATTATAACATAAATTAAAAAATCTGTTCCGAAAAAACCTAACTTTTATAACGAATGACTGTTATATAACGATATTGTTAAAAAAAAGTCTCACATTATATATATAAAAGACCATACTAAACATGCTTAAACCAGCCAAGCTCCAAAACATAAGACATATCTTCATCAACATTATTCAACTCTCCTTTTTCCCCTTTGAGATTTTAATTAGTTACAGTTTTTCACTTGGGGAAGAGTATATACTATATAGGAAACAAAGGGCAAAGATGGATGACTACAAATATGGAAGCCAGATGATTCAAACTGCTAGAAAACCAAATATTTACAAAGAATTGATAAAGAAAACTTTGCAGTTCTTAGTCCTAGTATCTCTCATATCCTTCCTTCTTTCTTACACCTATGGTTTCTCCTTCTTTTTCACCTATAATTTTCACTTCTCAGCTCTTGTTTTCCCACTCTTTGCACATGTCTTTGATAGGAAATACATGTTCCTACTTTGTAATGGTATTCTTGCATTTCTTGCCAAGAACTTGAGTTGTAGTTCTTCTTCTTCTGATGAACAAGAAGATGTATTAATCAAAGGTAAAGAAGAAGTAGAAGAGAACAAAGAAGAAGTTGCAGAAGTAGAAGAAACTGCAGCATGTTTATTATCAGATACAGAAGCAGTAGAAGAAGGAAATCAAGTGAATATGAGCATAGAGGAACTCAATAAGAAGATTGAAGAATTCATCAGGAAAATGAAAGAAGAAATTAGGACTGAAGCTATGCACTCAAGCTTAAGGGAGTGAAAGTCACGGGAGATCAAGATTCAAGTTCCGGCAGAGACAAAAAAATGCTAGTCATAAATTTTTTCATCTGCCTAAGTCTGAATCGTATAGCGACTCGATATATTTGTTGCCGGAAGATAGCAAGTACACGAAAAAATAATCGAGATGTGCACACAAACTGACGCTAGTATAATCATTAAAAGGAAAAAGAAAACATATGCTTAAGAACAGCTTATAACACTTTAGTCCCTACATTCTCTTCCACCTTGCATTCTGACCCTTCTTTCTGGGTTGGGAGAGGGGGGTGGGTGAGAAGAGGGGGTTGGATTTGGTGCTTAATATTCCATTAGCTAGAGTCTTCTTTTGTATTTGCTTTTTTATTTTTTTAGTGCACAAGCTCTATTTCTCCCTTAATGTATGTTCATATATATTTGGTTAATTTTCTAGAAGTCATGTAGTTTTGACCCTGTCCCTGTCTAAGTAATAGTGAGCTTTTAATTGTATATTTTAGTTGGATAATGTTTGATTCCTTAGATAGAAAATATTCAGTTTTGATATGTTAAATTTCTCAAATATTTACCTATTAATTCCAGTGCAGGCATCTTGGTTTAGGCTCGGGAGGAGTATAGAACTTACTAGAAAAGGTAATAGCTAATGCTGAAAATGGATATATTCCAGAATCTAGAGACATATAATACGTAATCAAAATAACTTATTCTAGTTATGCTAGTTAAATATTTTAGAGGATAGATATCGGCGTATGTAAGCAATTTGTTTCTTAGTCCACCCCACTTAGTTGCTGTAAAGTTTACAAAACATACACATAAGTTATACGTGTCTGCCTCATGCGATGAATAATGCCATAAAGATTATTGTGTAAAAATTGCTTATTTTAATTAGTTTTTATCGTTATTAATTATATATATGGATTGCTAATATTGTATTCTCATTCCGCATGCTTATTTCGCATATAACAATATATAAATACTCACGTCTGTTATAAAATAAAGATTATAAAATAAAAACAAGTATAAAGAGAAAATGATGTATTATTCAACTTCAAACTCATGTACATAATGAACTGAAAACTCCTCTATTTATAGAAGAAAGGAAGTAACTGCGAGGCTTTTCAGAAAGTAAGTGCAAGGCTTTTCTTTAGCTGCTTGTAAGTTGTCTGCATGAGCTGCTTGCAACCTGCATGTTTAATAAGAAATTATTGCAAATCATTTCATTGAGTTGCTTGCAACCTGCCTGCATCAGCTGCTTGTAGATAAACTTCAGTACTACATGGATAATCTTCTTCAGAAAGATTATCTATAGCGGAGTAATAAATGGACATTCACAATATAATATTTTCATAACACTCCCTCTTGGATGTTCATTAAAAGATAATGTGCCTCGTTAAAACCTTACTAGGAAAAACCCAGTGAAAAAAATCCTAGTGAAGGAAAAAGAGTATACATATTTAGTAATACGCATTTCTAGTTGCCTCATTAAAAACCTTATAAGAAAAATTCCATGGGAAAAAAGCTTAGTAAGAAAAAAAGAGTACAACACGTATTTCACCCCCCTGATAAAAATTTTGTTTCAAATATTTGAGTCTCCGCATTCCAATCTTGTATATCATCTTCTCAAAAGTTGAAGTTGGCAAAGATTTAGTGAACAAATCTATTGGATTGTCACTTGAACGGATTTGTTGCACATCGATGTCACCATTTTTCTAAAGATCATGTGTGTAGAATAATTTTGGTGAAAT